TGGGGCGCACATCCATTACGAACGGAGTGGAATTCTTCCTACTGTTACTCTTAGTATTATTATTGCTATTTCCACAAGGCGTTTTCGCAGCATTTGCATTGATTTATGATTTTTTTTTTTTTTTTTTTTTAAATCCCTGCTCTGTGTCGTTGTTCAAGGTGAGGGTAGTTTAAGTTTTTTGTTATTATTTTTTTAATTTAGCCTCGAGGGCTTTTAGACTTTTACACTTGACTTTATACTTGAGAAGCGAGAATCAAAGCATCTTGCACGGGAATTAATTTGGTAAATAAGGAAGGCTGCCGGGATTAAATAATGAATGGAGCACGCAGCCCCGGCGCCGAGCTCTCAAGGTGCGGCGGTGCTCCTCGCCATTGCAAAAGGGTGATTTTTTTTTTTTTCTTGCTGAATGGAAAGATGGAAAGTAAGGCGTTTTCTTTCCAAATATCCGCCCGCTTCTGGCCAGCCCCTGACGCTGCCCGGCGTTTTGTTTGTGCGTGCGGTTGTTTGGCTGCAGCCGGGCTCTGTGGGCAACTTCTGCCTTCTGTAAAGCAGGAGTCCTGCTGGATGACAAAAGAAATAGCGGAGTTGGTTGCGGCGGAACATATGTGTGCAATAATTGTCTGGCAAGTGTAGCTTTACGCAGAGGCTTTTAAACGCCTGAGGAATGAGAGGTAAAGCTAGCGAAGGCGCCGAGGCGCTGGGAATCTCCTGGCTGTGCTGTGGAGCTGGGCGAGGTGCGCGCGGCGCTCGGTGCAGGACGCAGCCCCCGGCCCTGCTGGGAGCTGCAGGACGGCCGCACGGAGCGGCTCGGAGCCGGGTGGAGCGGAGCTGCTCTCATCAGACGGTGCGTTTGGATGAGACCCGCTGCAAGGCGCCCGTGGGTACCCAGATAGGAACACGTCACTGTGTGCAGCTCCGTGCCTGGCGTTGGCAGTTGGCGCTCAGTTAAAGGAGCCTCTTCGGTGCGCTGCTCAGAACCGTTGTTAGGAGAGGCGCCGAGATGTTAATTAACTTTTTATTTACGAAGAAAGACTTTGAAATTTGACAGGAGTCTGCGGCGTGCGTTTGTAGGATGCTGCAGCGAGTGCCGCCTGCAATTATTAAGGATTCGTTCTATGCGTTTTATTCTGCTCAGACTTGCAAAATGCCATCCTTTATTTTTGCAGATTTGGTTCTGTTACGAGTGTAGTGATTTTGAGAATTACGCTGTTAGGTCTGAGTAACTTTCCAAATGCGTTTTGCCTCATGTTACACAGGCTGAACGTTTTAATCCCATTTTTTTGTCACTCTCTGAATTTAAACGTAGTTTAAATACCCGATTTAAGCAAATACATAATATTCCCTTTATTTGTTTCCCTTGGAGGGAAGCAAAAAGTATTTGTGCCAGACGAATCAATTTGCCATGCTTACGTAGGTAGCGGCCAGTGCAGCGACGACACTTGGTCTACCAGCAATTAACTGGGCAGCTCTATTGAATAAATGCACCGCAAACCTCATCTGGGAGGGCATTGCGATCAGAAATAACACAGCAGAGCGAATCTGAGCAGTGAGGGAAGCAGAGGGCTGCTGCTGCTTTGTTGTCTCTGAGCCTGAAAACATTCAGGTAACCTTGGCACATCCTTTAGCAGGTACAAATGATGTGTTAAGTGGGTAAGGTTAAGGTAGGGCCCATCCCGGGCAGCACCTGGGATCTCCCACAGCATCGTGCTGTGCCTGCGCACAAGCAGCCTGGTGGCACAGGGCGATGGCTCAGTACAGACACATTCTGTGCGTTGGCACACTGCTTGCACAAAGATGTGCAGCGCAGGGTACGCTCTCGGAAGGGAAGATCGGCTTGGATTTACTTCCCAGACCTCTGCTGCTTGGTGTGAGATGCGGAGAGGCGTAGCGAGCGAGCAGCGGTGTCCAAAAAGTTGTGAGAATGCACGTCTGCATGGGCGCTGGCTGCGGCCGCAGGGCTGTGTGCTGTGCTGGCAGCTGTCTGGGTGCACGGCTCACTGCTGGGAAGTGCTCTGACCGCCTCCTGCAGCGAGCAGCGCTTGGGAAATGCGGGGTTGCGTGCGGACACCCGGCAGCGTTCTGTGGAGCTGCGGGGAAGCTTTGAAGGGAGCTTCACAGTGCGTGCAGGTTGTTGTGCTGGATCTGCGTCCTGCTAACGCCGAGGTCCAGCAGCCGGCGTGCAGCGCGTCCTTCCTGCTGGGCTGATGCCCTCCTGCAGCCTCAGCTTCCCGTAGCGGGGAAGCTGCTGTTCCTCTGCCAACATCCACGGTTTGGTGCGAGGGGGAGCCACGGGCGTCGTTCCTCTGCGTGGAGCTGAAACTTCTCTTACTAGAAAATAAAAAAAGGCCCCAAAGAAAAGTAATCCCAGGCAGCGAAGTGAAACTATGTGTAGTTTAGGAAGCGTGGTAGTATTTCATGCTTAAAGTCATCCTGATGGCTTTTTTGCACGTCTCGTATGTGATGCTCCATTGTGATTTGTAACGTGTGAATGGAAATAAAGTAAAGCCACGTTTCCTTTTAATCTTTAATTTCACAAATATGGCTTCTTACCATGTTGAGAAATGGTGAAGGCTGCGCGGGAGAAAGGAATGTAACCTGAGCCACAGCCGTGACATTCCCATGGAGCATTTTTCACATGAAAGGCTTTTGTCAACCCAGCAAAGGACCAGGAGTTTTCGTTTGATGTTTGCAGGTGTTCAGCAGAGAGCACTAAAACAGTTCAGCCATGCTGGCTGAGGGACTCTGACCTGACCAGGGGAGCTGCTGAGGGCTGCACTGATTTTGGAGAAAGCTCCCCTGGAGTTAGCTCAGATTTATATGGCGTTTGTTAAGCGATTTAATACCTGCGACTTCAGCTGAGCAACGCTCGCCCCATAGAAGGAAGCGAGGTTTGCTGTTTGTGTTGTTGTTGTTGTTAGGGCAGTTGCTAAAATAAAATGAACTTTCCTAAAATTTTCGGCATAGTTCGGCTTCCACGGTGCAGGCATCAGCCGTGAGCTCAGTGTGTGCCACGCTTGTGATCGCTGAGCGCGGCCATCGCTGCTGCTGGATTTGCAGGGTGGGTTTCGAAGCAGATTTGCAGCAATTGCGGCGCTGGGAATTCGCTCGGTCTGTCACGTTTGGCATATTCCGGTTTTTGAACTGTTAATCAAAGCCCACATCTTCCCGATCGGGCTCAGTTCTTGCCTCTGCTATTTTTAAGTCTTGCATTTTACCTAAGTTTTGTAGCATCTGCTATAGATGCCCACTCTGTGTGTGTTTGAGCGCTGCGTGGGGGGGAGCAGCATTAGAGTGCTCGAATTGGGCTGATGGGCCTCTCCTGCAGCACAGAAAATCCTTCCAGCACAGACACCGCTGCGCTCGGCTAAGTCAGTTTAAAGGATTTAAAGACTTGCTTTTAATTTCGCCATTAGTTTGATTAAGGCTTGTCCTGCATTAGAATAACAGCGATTACAAATTAATACACCCTAAATGAGGGAATCACAAATTCTGCTCGGTTTTGAAGTTGTTGGTTTTTTTTTTGTTGTTTGTTTGCTTGTTTGTTTTTAAATAACTTTCTGTGTGCCTGCGAGCAAATGACAGGAAAATAGTGTAAGGAAGCAGCAGCATGACGTTTTTCGGGCTGTGGCTGCAGGGTAGGAGGCATCATTTTGCCATGATCAGTTGCTTATCAGAACTGATTCAGTGTAACCTCCGTCTGGAGACTCAGTGTTTGGATATCGAGTGGCCAGCCTGGGCACACCTTGGTGTGATGCACGGGTCTGTGGTGCCAGCAGGAGCAGCGCGGCGGGATTTTTGGAAGAGTGCTTTTGTCTCACGGGTGGCGTTTTGGGATCGCAGTTGAAAACGAGGAAAGGGATTTTTAGCTTGTCATCGGTACTTTTTAACAAGGAGGGAGAAGCAGCACAGGGATGTAGTGATGGTGCTCGTGTGCGTGGCTGAAGGGTGGTTTGCTCAGTGCTGCACCAAAACCCCGACTGCGGCCCCACAGACGCTGCTCCTTCGGGATGTAGCTGGGGTACACAAAGACCAGCCACGCTTCCCACCCCCATGCCCTCTGATTGTGATTAAGGAGAGGGATGCTCCCCGCCTCCCAGCTCCGGCCGCTCAGGTTGCTCCCTGCAAGCGGGCAGGATGGGACCACGCTGCAGGGGCGGCCTCACGCTGCCGTGCCAATGTGCAGGAGCTGAATCTTTGCTTACAGAGATGTTGTCCAGCTCTGCTGAGCCCGCTTGGAGGAGTTGAGCGCTGCAGGGGAGAGGTTCCTGCTGTTTGAGTCCCACCCGGGGCGCATCCCGCGGGAGCATCCCAGGGCGCTCCCCAGCAGGCGGGCGACTTCCTTCCGAAGCTGGAGGTTAAGCTCTCACCTTGGCGACTGAAAAACGCAGAGAGAACTCCCTCTCCTTTCTGAGAAGTAGCCCTGGTTGATGGCAGAGGGCCTGAGCTGATGTCCACAAAAGGGCTGTGTGGGGCGCGATCAGTGAGAGGCAGCTCAGCCGTGCCTCCCGGCTGCTGCAGCTCTTTTAGAAATGCTTTTTGTCATCATCGCTGTATATCTACCTTGTCAGGGCTCCCGAATACATTTAATAATTCAGAAACACACACATTAGCTGTCTGCGAGGCTGGATGGCTCGGGGGCCAGACCCAGCCAAATGTCACCTGGAGGAGATGCTGGTGCGTGCCGCAGCCCAGGTCTGCAGTCACTGGTGGTGCTGGGGATGGTGCCGTGGGTAGGAGTTCTCCATGGGGGAGGTGTGTGTGATGGATGGGGAGCTGGGGGCTGCCCAGGGCTCGGGGAGCTGTGCAGAGCTGGTGCGGTGTGCTCAGGAAGGGTGCAGAAAAGAGGGGCACCGGGCAGCATGAGGTGAAGGTTGGCTTCTTCCCATGAGATCCGCGCTCTCTCCGCTCCCA